CCATACTAACACACCTGAGTATGACCCATACTAACACACCTGAGTATGACCCATACTAACACACACCTGAGTATAACCCATACTAACACACACCTGAGTATAACCCATACTAACACACACCTGAGTATAACCCATACTAACACACCTGAGTATGACCCATACTAACATACACCTGAGTATAACCCATACTAACACACACCTGAGTATAACCCATACTAACACACCTGAGTATGACCCATACTAACACACCTGAGTATAACCCATACTAACACACCTGAGTATGACCCATACTAACACACCTGAGTATGACCCATACTAACACACCTGAGTATGACCCATACTAACACACACCTGAATATAACCCATACTAACACACACCTGAATATAACCCATACTAACACACACCTGAGTATAACCCATACTAACACACCTGAGTATAATCCATACTAACACACCTGAGTATAACCCATACTAACACACATCTGAGTATAACCCATACTAACACACACCTGAGTATAACCCATACTAACACACCTGAGTATGACCCATACTAACACACCTGAGTATAACCCATACTAACACACACCTGAGTATGACCCATACTAATACACACCTGAGTATAACCCATACTAACACACCTGAGTATAACCCATACTAACACACACCTGAGTATAACCCATACTAACACACCTGAGTATGACCCATACTAACACACACCTGAGTATAACCCATACTAACACACCTGAGTATAACCCATACTAACACACCTGAGTATGACCCATACTAACACACCTGAGTATAACCCATACTAACACACCTGAGTATGACCCATACTAATACACACCTGAGTATGGCCCAGTAAGCAGACACCCGTAACTAAAATACGACTGTATGGAGCCCAGGTAAAGATACACACCTGTCGGAGCCCAGGTAAAGATACACACCTGTAGCAGCCCAGGTAAAGATACACACCTGTAGGAGCCCAGGTAAAGATACACACCTGTAGGAGCCCAGGTAAAGCTACACACCTGTAGGAGCCCAGGTAAAGATACACACCTGTAGGAGCCCAGGTAAAGATACACACCTGTAGGAGCTCAGGTAAAGATACACACCTGTAGGAGCCCAGGTAAAGATGCACCTGTCCGGAGCCTCCGTAAATACACGCCTCTATGGAGCCGCGTTAATTACACATTTGTGTGGAACTCGGATAAAAGCACACCTCTACTTTTACAGTAAACTCGCACCCGTATATGCGCACGGAAACACACCTGCATGGTGCAGGTCCACCTCTACTGCGCCTAGGTAAATACACACCTGTATATGACCCCCTGTAAAGAAGACCCTAAGTAAAACACACCTCTACTGAGGTCAAGTAAGCACGCACCTGTATCGTCTACAGGAAAACCCACACCTGTGCTGAGCCCAGATAAGACCACATCGGTGCGAGATACAGATAAGCTCACGCTTAATGCCTGCCAAGGTAGAGTCACACCTGTACGGGCCCCGATCTAAAGTCACACCTGTACGGGGGCTACCGACCCAGGTAATCACGCGCCGATGTTACCCCAACACACACACACACACCTGTACGGAAACCCCACATCGCACACCTGCGCGCCGCCTCCGGTCTCGAACCTAAAAACATCCTCGGTTCGATCCCCTCACTGCCACCGTCCGTCCATTCCTGCTCACATCCACGGGGGAAGCCGGGGCGGGTCTCGCCACCCATGGCTCCTCCATTGGCGGGTGGGGGGGGGGGGTGATGCGGAGGGATCTCCGTACAGGTAACAGGGGGGTGGTGGAGGGGGGCAGCGGTGGTGGCGTGAGAGCGCGGTCGGAGTGGGGGGTGGGGGGCTCTTACCTGTAACCAGCTGAGACACGGCGAGGAGAGGAGCTCGAGGATGGATGAGGCGAGTAGGAGACGTCGGAAAGCCCCAGGCGTTCGTTCACAAGCGGCCAGACCGCCCTCTATACCCGCCCTCTCGACCCGCCCTCCCCGGGGCACTGCGCGCCATGGCGGCCCGGGCGGTGCCGGCGTCACGGGGTCTCCTCCCACGCAGCCCGCACCCTGATCCGCGAAGGGGATGAGGGGGATGGGTGATAGGGGAGGGGGACCCGCGGCGGCGATGGGGGGAGGTTGGTGCCGGTACCCCCCCCCCACCTCCCTCCTCCCTCGTTGGCACGCACACGCCCCGCTTCTTGGAATGGACAGCGCCCTGCCGAGATGGGTGGCAGGTTTTTTGGCAGGGCGCTGACTCCAAGGCGCTGGCTCCAGAGGTTCTGATACTCCGACTGATGCCTCTGTTGTCGTGGAGTAACTCACGCAGCCAGCTATGGCTCTAGGATTTGGTGTTACATGTTATTTATGTAATTTATTGTTAAAATTCGGTCACAGTTCCTGTGATCACTGTTACGTTGCAATTATGGCTTTATTTTTTGGTGATTTGGAAAACGTTTTTTTTGTACATGTTTTATTGTAGTACGGAGTTAGACTGATGGCCTTAAGTTTTCTTGTGGTTGTTGTTGTTGTTTGACTTGCATCCCACTGGGATTTTTTGCACACAGCGTTGGTGTACGGTGCTTTTTTCAGGAATATTTTGCTGTTTTTTTCTTGGATTTTCTGTTTCCACAGTCACATAGTCACTTTAAGATTTTTTTATTGTTTGTTTTTTGTTTGTTGTGGTTGCACCCGATTCAAGAGCCGAATGGCTCACAGGGCTATACCAAAATAAATAAATTGAAAACTGAAACTGGCTCCAAGGTGCTGGCTCCAAGGCGCAGCTGGCTTAAGTGTAAGTTCTGGATCAAGGATGATGGGTGAGGTGTTCAAAGTGATGGGTGAGGTGTGTGGGTGAGGGAGGCGTCCTGGGTGGTGTGGGTTCTATAAGGTATGGGGGCGCAGAGTCCATGATGCGGAGCGAGGTTTTAAGGTGCTGGGTACAAGGGTTCATGGTGCTGGATCGCAGGTACTGTGATTTGCCAAAATTGGTGGTTGTTGGCTTTTGGATCCAGGCAGGGTGCTCAGTGAAGAGTCTAGAGGGTTTCTGGTGTAGTGTCTAAGGTGCCTGGGCGCTGGTTGAGGTGCAGGCTGCTAGTTGATTATTGCGATAACCAATGCTGGCTGGGGCTGTGGTACAAGTTCCTGGGTACCAAGGTACAAAGGTTATAAAGCACAGGGCTTTAATTCGCTTAAATCTGTCAGGGTGAAACTACTCGCTGTACCCGGCACACCACATCCAGTATATCTCTGACAATGACTAACAGCCACGTGTCTCCTGCTCCAGTATACCAGTGATAAATTAATCCGTGGATATCAGTCCAGGTGTATAGTGCCGGGTGCAGGGGTTTAATGATTTATCTATTCCACTCGTTTACCCAGGAAAGCCTCACCGAGTCTCGTGACTGTTTTTCAGAAGGGTCCTGTCAAGTTTTCGCAGTCGTGCGGGGGGGGGGGGGGTCGATGATTACTCCGCATATTCCGATGGAGTACTTCGTGGCAAATGCGCACCATGACGCCGGCACACAATGGGGCCTATACCCTTGCGAATAACACCACGGGCATCTTTCGTTAACGTCCGCTCCGAGTGGAGCACAGTGACGGGACTTGGTGGATAATAAAACACCGCGGTTATTAATCAGGACGGCCGCTGGACGAGAATCGCGAACCTCTGCAGCAAGCGACGACGAACGCGCCGGCAGTCATTGACACCGGAGTTAACCCCGCGCAAGGCGTGGAGTAAGGATAATGGCAGAAGGCTCAGATTTCACGTTTGCGTTGAGGGATAAGTGCAGGGCGAGGCTGTAATTGCCTTGGAGAGCGCAGTGCGCGCACCAATACAGATGCATGCCAATATAGACGGACTGCCCCATTAGGCCAGTAATAGATTTAGTCCACGGATTATATCGGTTTAAGTACTCGACTTAACTGGGCAAAGTGAAAATAGTTTTTGGGGAAAGTCTCACCGGGCCAAGACTCATCCGACTCTTTTGAGACGTGACCAGGTTACGTTTTGCTCCATGCGCGAGGAAGACCCCAAGAACCCGGAGAAAAGTGCACCGTGCATACGAGGGCATACCAATCGAGGGTCCACACGGACGGGCTTCACAAAACCCACGGTTCAACGAATCTTTGCTACACTGCCCTCTGCTGCCCACAACGCAGCCCTACACCTGTCGTGTATGGTGGCCCGCCCATGCGACACCATTCGAGGTTCAACCGTCCTGAGTTCACTGCCTCGGTTTGCGGTTGGTCACCGTTGTCACGAGTGCAAGTTCGGTCACGAGCATCCATTGCTGGACTCCTACCCCGTCGTTGAGTTGGGCGTCTTAGAAACAGTGTTTATTGCAAACTACAGATAATGGGCCGAGATGCCGTGTGAAACAGCAGTAAGCAGCGTTTGGTCAACATGGGTTCAGAGGTTCTCTTTATCCAGGCGAGGGCAAACATCTCTCCGGTCATTGTTATTACCGACGGGGAGGAAAAAAAAGTCCACCAGCGATGGCCATTTCTGTACATTTACAGCGCTTTTATCAATCCACTGCTGGATGAATGCCTCCCCAAGCAATCGCCACCTCTCGTCATGGATCCGCCAAGCACCGGGCACACAAAGCCGATTTCATCGCTCCGTCTCTTAAGAGTGGGACGTCGTCTCTGGAGCGTTGCCCAACTTTGCCGGCCCTCCCGTCATTAACGTTAACCACCGGCCATTACGCCTCCTGTTGCAGGAAACTTTCTTATCAGAATCATTAAAAGGACGATGTCTTTATCATCAGCAAGTTATTTTTACTACAGATGTTCTAATTGCACTTGAGTGCATAAAGTAAATTTTGGTTTAAAGCTTTCGTGACTGCAGGGATTCATATTCTTGGTTCTTTCGGTAAAGTCACGTAGAAGGGGAAACAATAAAATAAAAATATAAAACAATACAATTCTCACGACGTTTCGACTGCAACACAAGCAATCATCGTCAGGTGTGAAAACCACGGCAAGAAAATTTGAAAAAAGTGTAAAGTAAATTTACTTGGTTGACAGCTGACACACACTTTGTTTTCCCGACCGAGAATATACCGATATCGAGGTACGAATGATGTGGGTGGTGGGAAAACAACCACGTCGCGCTACCCGAGTTCCAATTGGTGATTATTATAAAAGGTCAAACCTAACGGCCAGGGAATCTGGTGTTTCCGCATCTTCGAAATCGGAGTGAGCCGAGACGAGATGAAGGCGTTTGTGATTTCACGCGAACTGAAGTTAAACGTGTTTGAATGGCTATACTCCATTGTGCCGTTTTCAGATGCAGAGCAGGGCCGGCCATCTCTATGATCTTGACTTTGGAACCATCGTAGCGAGCACATTGCAAGTTTCCTGGGCGATTGAAAACACTCACCAGGCGGTACCCACTGACGGTTTAGGTTGATAATTCTGGACACTTGTTACCACTCTCTCCGAGCCAATTACCCAGAACGCACACCCTATCTCAGAAGCAAAGCGAAGTTCACTCTGAATAGTGCTCAGATGGGCGACTCCCAGGGAAAAGACAAGTTGTAGGGCTGTCGTGAGCCTATGTTGTCAGCAGCAAAATCAGTTGTTAAACTGCACTTCTATGCTCCCGCATCTGTTTCCCACCTTCAACCAGCACTGACCAGTGTGGTGAAACATGGTCAGGTAACTCCGACGACCCGCGTGGCATGAGCAGCAGGGCTTCATCCCGCAGAAGATTGACAAAGAGCGTGGGAGCTGCACACGTCACCAACGTTTTTTTACAAGTAAAAGTAGAAATGAGAACTTGCACGTAAGAGAGCGAGCATGTGCGATTTGAACAACCGAAACTGCACCTTTGATCTGTGCTGCCGAGAATGGAACGTGCAAGGGCCATCCTATAAAAGCCAATACGGTGCGCGACTGTGCATGGGCGCACGGCAGCACGCACGGCAGCCACAACTGCCGGCTGGCTACGGGTTCTCTTCTCGACGAGGGCGATGTGCGCTTTAATTACGAGCTTCGTCAGTGACGTGCGCCTGTGAGCCATTTCTGAAAACGCAACCGGCAAGATAAAAAAAGTGGGTTTTTTTTTTTCCGCGAACGTCATTGGGAGACGCTTAAATCGGGTACACGGTGAATCGGTTTCAGTCCGCAGGACGTCCCTGGTGCAGAACTGCAAACTTGAATCCAAAAGAAAAACTAACTCGCAGGTAGTCCAATGGAGGAGGCCATGAATGCAGCAGAGACGTTTTCACGAGCACAAGCAGGGTGTTGTTGTGGGACGAGTTGTGATTAAAGTGCTAGCTGCCGTTGCTGTGTTGCCAGCGACTATGGTAGTGCTGTCAGCCAAAGCACTAGCGGTTGGTACTGAGATCAAGTGGTGACTCGTGGTTGGCACTATGTAAAGTTTCAAGTTGAGTTTCTTTACCCAGGTGAGAACTCATAGAGGCCATGTTGAGTCTCATTTGCAAGTGACCTGGGTCATTAATCTGCCAGTCGGGGACGATGGTTGCTACTGCTGCTGTGTGTGTAATCCCAATTGGGCAATATGCAGGCAACTTTCAAATTTGGACCTAGGTGCCGGCACATAATGGCTTAGACGTCAGGGGATTCTTAAGGTCCGGTTTAACTCGAGGCGGATGGCGCGTAGTATTAAATATGGTTATTACAACCCCAGTACTAATCAGGGTGGCCGCTGAATTCGAACAATTCATAATAATTTAGATTTTATAAAGCGCCGTTCATCTTCACATATTAACCTCTGCAACAAGCGGCGAGCGCGCTACCGTTCGGCCGTACCACCGCCCGTTAAGAGCAGCCAGTAGTGTCAGTGGAGCACTAGCCACTCGTGCTGTGATCCCAGTGCCAGTGGGGTTGGTTATGCCAGTTGGTGGATCGCTAGCGGCCAGTGCTGTGCGTCGAGCGCTGCGCCCTCTCTAGCAACTCATCCAGAGCATCCTCGTCCGCCGCGTGCAGCAGGGTCTCCACCAGGCCTTCGAAGGCCGGGCCGCCCTCCAGCACAGTCTGAAACGCACACACCCACACACACGGAGACCAGCATATTCATAGTTACGGCTTGACTCGGGCTTGGCTTTGGCTCAAGTGAGCCACTTTTAAGGCACTCAACTTGAGACGGCCCGAAGCGTGGTCCCAGCCGCACTCTGGATTTCCATGAGGCTGAGCCTGAGGCAGGCCCTGGATGAATCGCTTGTGTGTCTTTGGAAGACGCATGTGTCATGGCTCAGCCTGAGCTGGGCCGTACCTAAGAATACGGCCCTGAATGCGGCCCTGAGTCTCTCCCCTGTCACCTCCTCCACACACTGTACTTTCAAGATGCATGCGCTAGATGGCGCTCTGCGGAGTAATCAAAGGTGTATCCAAATTGCCAATACTTTAGAAGTACCGATTCATATATACGGCCAATAAGGGTGAATTCTTCGATTTCCCCGCTTATTTAAAATGTTAGTGGCCACACAAAGAAATTGGAACCACTAAAGCGCTGCCATCTCAGGTGGTACTCACCAGTGATATATCTGGTTTGGGCTCATGGACTTAATAGCGTTTTCTAAATCCGCTGCTATAAGAAGGTGTCCCCACATGCCATGTGGAGCACGGGGATTGTTTGACCAAACGTCACCACAATGGTGAGTGCGGGTTGGTTAAGGGGGTAAAGTGGGGGGCCAAGACCGGTTGAGATGTCACATTATATTGTGTAATTATTGGATAATGCTAAGGGGTGCGTTACTGACAAAGGTGTTTGAAATCCTTTTGGGCCCTCTATAAAAAAACAAGGCGCTCTTCCAAGCCGAATGAGAACAGGTGAAAAGATAACACCACTGTGTTATTGTAGTGTCGCGTTGCTCAATGATTACTCACAATGTTTATTGACCACATATTTTTCTCGTTAGTGACATTTTAATTTGACTCGTGTTCGCCAACCGTTTTGGTCTGTGTCTTTCTATTCGGAGTGGGGGGGGGGGGGGTGTCGAGGGGGGGGGGGGTGGTCTTTGTTCAATGCAAATTAGTTGCGAGCTTAGCAGCCATCCCCCCCCCATTCTTAAATATTTAACAGACTGTGTGGCTTTAAACGCACCTGCACATCGTGCAGTGTGAGCGATATGCGATGGTCCGTCACTCGATCCTGCGTCAAGGTGTACGTCCGAATCCTCTCCGACTGAGATCGTGTTCCCACCTTGGGCGAGAGAATAGGACACAAAAACACATTTTACTCTCTCAAACTAAAATGCGACGCATTGTTATTTCAGGTGGAAATAAAAACTCGATCGCACGTCGCGACAAGACTCGCCGCTCTGCGGGGGCGCTATTGTGACCGCGGAATTCATTTCCATTTTAACCCTTCGCTTTTTGACAAAGCGAAGGGCAAGACAAGCGAAGAACAGGAACGCAGCTGCTGCTTTCTAGACTGCACACGAGTTACGAACGCGGAACATGACACTGTGGCAGTAGCAGCAGCGGCAGCAGTCATACGAGCCGTCATGTTAATGGCCCTAACAGGTTGGGCCACCGTAGCCCAGCCTTGCCATCTCCCGTCCACGTGGGAGCGAACGAGCGAACGAGCGAGCAAGCTCGCTCACGGCGCCGCACGTTACCTGCAGTCTGCGCGCGCTGTGCCTTTTCTGCACCTCTAACTCGAATAGCTGCTGGTACATCTTCGTCTTGAGGATCTGAAGCGCCATCTCCTTGTTTCGAATTTGTGATCGTTCCTGCTGGCACTCTGCAGTCAATCCTAAAGCGCAGGCAGACCGGCCCAGCACACACACGTCACATTAACACATTCAGCTTTTACAACTGCTTTTTTTAACATGCGAAATCAATTTGCCGTCAGTCCAATGCATCGTGTGGCCCAGGCTGAAGCCTGCTTTGGCTTCTGTATTCATGACCCTGCCTCTTCCAGTGACCCTAGCAGGTGCCTGACCTGTCGGCAGGTGCACGACCCGCACGGCACTGTCCGTGGTGTTCACGTGCTGCCCCCCTGCGCCCTTGGCTCGGAACGTGTCAATCCGCAAGTCTTTTGTCTCCAGCTTGATGTCGATCTGCAAGCGACATCAGCAGAACCTTACCTACGAAACACCAGAGCGCAAACCGCATGTATCATAATGTAGCTCTCTCATTGTATTTCTGGGTTGTGCTTCTGCGCGTTGTTCAGCCAGATGTCCGACTTTTCACTCCACGTCTTAAGCAATATTTCACTCTATGTACGATGCGGAAGTGAACTAAGCTCCCAGCAGGTGCAGAGAAATTTTGGATATTCTTCCGAGCACGCGGCACAACAACCCGAAAGCACATTACATTCCTACATTGTATGTATAATTTACTGCACCAGACTGGGTTAAAAAGATGACGTCACCGTGCTGCTCTATTGAAGACCGGGAGCAAGTGGAGGGCGTCACCATTCTGGCAATTTGCCCAATGATGCTGGATGTAATTAACAGAAAAACGTCGTACTCAAAATTTTAAATGATGTTGATTCACTCTTCAACACACCGGTTCGCTAAAGTAGTGAACTATTTGTCTTTTGTAAACGTGACACATTTTTTTACTGTTTGGCCGTGTCGGGTGGTGGAGGGTTACGACACATTTATAAACAACGCGATCGAACCCAAAAAAACCTTCATTATGAATAATTAGTGTAAACCGCAACAGGATTTGCTGTTTCTCCACTGATTCTCAGAGTCAGACTTATTTCAGCCGATGAGGCCCATTGAGCTAAGCGGCTCCCTTTCAAGGACGGCCGCAGCCCAAACCCCATCGGAAGTGGCGGCAGTTACAGCTCATCACAGGAAGGGATCACAAACGTGATTGAAAACAGGCCTGGCTCGCGCCGATGAGCACGAGAGTGGCGTAGACGCACATCCCGCGGCTGTGGCAGCACGATGACCGTGGTGGTGCCCGTGTGGATCCGCTCCATGCGCGAGGACAGGCCCGTCTGCGGGATGCGCTGCACTCGGTGGGTGCCGCCCTCGAACTTGAGGTGACGGAACACGGCGTCGCCCGTGATGCGCGCCGACGCGTGGTGCAGCCCCCCTGGTGAGACCACGGGAAGACTTAAAAATTGCAGAGTGGATTTTATGCGGGGTTTAAATGTGGCTGCATTTGAGGACTATGAATGGAAACACTGGACATTTATTTTGTAGAGGCAGTCATATGCAGAAGGTAAAAAGGAAGGCCTTAAGCCTGGGCTTGAACAGAAGGGAGTCACAAAATGGCTAGATTGAGTTCCAGAATATGGGGGCAGCTGAGGTGAATGATCGACCTCCCACTGAGGCACAAGTTGACTGGGGGCCTCAGCAAGAAGTCTTGTTTTACTGGAGCGCATAATGCATGGAGGGGAGTAGAGTGAGATGAGGTAGGAGAGTGCGTGAAGGGGAGTAGAGTGGGATGAGAGGTAGGAGAGTGCGTGGAGGGGAGTAGAGTAAGATGAGAGGTAGGAGAGTGCGTGGAGGGGAGTGGAGTGAGATGAGAGGTAGGAGAGTGCGTGGAGGGGAGTAGAGTGGGATGAGGTAGGAGAGTGCGTGGAGGGGAGTGGAGTGAGATGAGAGGTAGGAAAGTGTGTGGAGGGGAGTAGAGTGAGATGAGAGGTAGGAGAGTGTGTGGAGGGGAGTAGAGTGAGATGAGAGGTAGGAGAGTGCGTAGAGGGGAGTGGAGTGAGATGAGAGGTAGGAGAGTGCGTGGAGGGGAGTGGAGTGGGATGAGGAATAAGAGAGGAAAGTGCGTGGAGGATTGTAGAAGAGGGGTCGGCAGGGGCAAATCTATGGAGGACCTTGAAATAACTGCCTCTTTCATTGCTTGAAAAACTGTTCCCTCTTAATTACTAACCACACAGTATATGTGTACATTTTTTGCACTTTCAAATTTCAATCATAAAGGTCTGACACGTTAACTGCCATGGTCTGTTTTCGTGCAGTGGTTCTCCGTACCGCAGTCTGCCAGAGCGAAGCTCATGATTTCAAAGTCCCAGTTTCTGTGCTTGGCGAAGCCCTGATACATGTCAAAAAGTTCAGCGGCAAACCGCTGACAGATGTCACCTGCCAGAAAGAGGCAACAAAAAAACAAATCAGCAGGCTACGTGATTGTGATGACATGTATAGCCCGTCATTGACACCCTTTGAAAACCGGAGTTCATGTGAAGTAGAAGACCGTACCTCCAGTAGTCCGTCCAGCTGTGACTTCAAGGATGACATCCCTGTCATCATGTGGATCCTGTGGTAACAGCAAGTCCAGCACCTAAGAAACATCAATAAAACAGAGGAGTAATAACTCACCAAATCGTAGGGGTTTTTTTTTCGATTTGTTTTTGTTATACACAGGACTTAAATAGTTACTGAATCATTTTCCGGGACACTTAGAAAGGCGTAGACCTAGAAAAAGGGGTCGGAAAACACCCATGGGCATAGCGAGAGGCAAACTGGATGTGATGCGTTGGGTGCGGAAATATTTTCTGAGGTCGCTGACCCATACAGAACCATCTGAAATTAAGCCCTGGTTAAATGTAATTAGCTGACATGACCCCTGCTACCACTGTTGTCCGCTACATTCACCACAATGTTAAGACAATAATATATTCTGGAAGTGCATCACAACAACTTATCGAATTGCCTGGGTTGGGCGGTGGTCAATCAGTGCAACCTTTACAACACAACTGAGGGTCTAAACGCCACATTATCTTAGCTGTTCCTGGACAGTGTGACTGGAACCGGGCTTTACCTTCCTCTCCAGGTTCCCAGCCTCCCCTTGGATTCTCTCCTTTTCCTCCACTGCGAGTGCCTGCATGTGCCGGTCCTTTTCTGCCTCCACACCTGTCAGGGAGCGGACACATAGAGACCACACGCCTCCAGCTGCCCGGATCTGTCCTCCCATAAGTCGTGGAATAATGTGGAATGGACACATTTGACAGCCTGGGTGCAGGGTTGGCCTAAGCATCCGAGCAGCTGGACATTTTCCATTGGCAGTCAGTGCTGGAGTTGGGGTCTTCACTTAAACAAGACTTTATCCCATGAGACAAACGATCCATTTGGATCTCTCACAGCAATGTAACCCTTCAAGTTAGAGAAGAGCCCATGAAACAACTTATCACATCTATTTCTGAGAACCCTTCCAAGTCACCTCTGGTCCACACCAGGGGGCAGCACTTTCTCATCCATGCAGCCACACAAAGCAATGATGTTGGGGTGGGAGCGGGGTTTCTACACTCATTGGTAACCCTTCTGAGACCATCAACTTACGGTACTTGAGGATCCAATTTAATCAGACGGCTTCCTGGATTCCAACCCAAGATGTCATCGGTGTTATGGATAAGATCCTCGCCAACTCAACTTGGCCACACTATAATTATTTGGCAGATGGTTTTAGTTGAGATTTAAGTTGGGCCAAACATAGCTCCCCAGTCCAACTACAAGGTAAATGCTTGGTCGCCCGGCATCTCAATCCAGCCTAAGCGGGCTCCACCACGCTCACTCACTTTCCAGCAGATCCTCCACCTCACGCAGCTCGCGCTGCTTGTTCTCGAGGCACCCGATCATCGCCACGAGCGGTGCCAGCTCCTGCTGCCGCTTCCTGAGCGTGCGAGGGTCACCCCCGGTCCCCGTCCCCTCTCCGTGTCTCCTCAGGGCCTCGGTCACGGCCACATGCTCGACCTGCAGGCTTTGCAGGTAGAGCCGCAGGGAGTCCCTCCTGCTGGTGCAGTATCTCCTCACGATGGCCCAGGAGAGATGACCGTCAGTGAAGGAACATCCAGTCGGGTTCGTCTGCATCTTCAGCCCGACACATGACGAATTTCTGACTGTCGAAGTGTCCAGGGTGACTAGAGGCCTCCAGGGCTGAGTTCTTAGACCACAGTGGAGGCGGGGACACTTGGTCCTCCATGGGGCAAGGCTACTCCAGTTCGGACAAAGCAGTAGTCGCGATGAGAGACGCACGCTGGCTCCAGGCATCCCAGCTCGATGGTGATGATTGATAAAAAAAAAAGTCGTCGTGATGAACGCCTGCTTGGCACTTGAGATGTCTTCCCCCTTGCACCATGGAGGCATGTCAGAATGGAACACATTTAAGAAAATGGAGCCACGTCACTGAGATTGTTTTATGCACCGGCCCCTGGCTTCTATGCACATCACCAGACAATCCTCTACACTACACTGAAAGTAATGCTATGTAGGTTTTAGCAGTTGCGACATATGGCTCTGGTGTTTTAGAAGCTCCCCAGTACGTGGAACACAACGGCGGACATCGTGCCGAGCAGCATTCGGTACAACCCAACAACGCATCAAATTATTTGGCGATTTTGCTACGATGTCAGTGGTGCACAATTAGCCACATTCGTCAACAATACTGTGGGCTTAATGGGAAAAATAAATAGCCGACGTTTGTTGGCAATGGCCCTTACTCATAGCAGTTTCGTTGCATTTTGTGTGATCTGAAAAGTAGGGCCGTTGCCCGAAACGTTGCCGATTCTATTTATTTTCCTTTGAATGCCAGGGTGTTATTGACGACTGCGTTGAGTTGTGTTCAACCAAGGCGAGAGATGATGAGTATCCACGGAGTAGCTGCTGCTGCTGATGATGATGTGTAAAAAGCACGATTACTGCCATTCACTCGAGCTCAGTGACAACACACATTCAGCACTGACCGAGCAATCGTAAACTTAAGAATTACAATCTCTGGCTTGCCATTAACAAGTTTGGTGGTGGGGGGGGTGGGTAATAATGGTTGGCGGTACAGCCCATGACAAACGTACGGGTTCATCAAGAGGTGATTTTTTGGGTCAGATCAAGGAAATGTGAATGTCCCTCAACCGGCCCTGGGGGTTTACTACTCCCAACACACACGCCGGTGTATTGCTGAACTTGTAGAACGAACTGGCTCGTTTTGTTCACGTGACAAACCTTACTAATTGGCTGCGTACGGGTGGTGGCGGAGTTAACGACACATTTATAATTTACGCGATATTATCCAACTGCGTGTCGTGTATTGGCACGAGTTGTTTTCCAAATCGGGACGATGTTATTGTCCCGACATAAATGTGAGTATTTAGTGTATAAAAACGCAACCATTCGGGGAAAATAACAATGACAGGTTAAGGCAAACAGCCTTATTTTACCAAGCAACGTTTGATGGAATACTTACATGAACAAATATAACGTACAGCTTAAACACCAATGCCGTACGTTGCTTCACCAGCATTACGTTTGCACGACTGTTAAATTGAATACAACTGTTAATTTACTCTATGAGAAACTAACAGTTTCAGCTTATTTTCGCATCGAGTCAAGTATGTTTCGGCGAATGTGTTTAGAAAATGTTACTTTTGTTGACGTGCTGTAATAATGACCTGGCCGGGCGCCGGGGCCTACACCGGGCAGTCGTGGCGCCCCTGCCGAGCTCCCTCGCCCCTGCGCGGCAGCAGCTCTAGTCGAGACCGGTGTCGCCCGGCGAGCCAGCGTCCGAGTCTTCTATAAAAGACACCTCGGTGTCTCAGAGCCGCAGCGTGTAAACACAAACTTCACTTTGCCTTCCTTGACGTTTTACACAATTACGGTGTAACGAATGAAAGCCTCGACACAAGAGTTGCGGAGTTAAGCCGCGTATGGCGTTTGCGCGGTGGCGTTTGTTTTGTGATGGTTTAGAATGTCCCCTCCAGGGGGCAGCATAGGAACTTTAAATTTTTAAACAAGACCGTAGTGGATCGAGCATGCCCGAAATGCTAATGATTGTAATTTGAGTAGTAACAATTGTGGTGAGATGTTTCTCTAGTTTGTTTTAATGTGATTTATGTTGTGATTGTGGTCACTCAGTCTCTCTCTCTCTCTCTTGAGGTCTCACCACTTGGCCATACAGAATCAATCTCACAATTCAATAAAGTTACAGCATAATTTTGCTTCTTTCGGTAAAGTCACGTAAAGGGAAATAAAAATTATACAATAAAATAATACAATAAAACAATACAATTTGTGAGAATTTTATGGTTGCATTTGTATTATTTTATTATTTCCCTTATACGTGACTTTACCGAAAGAACCAAGAATATGAATTCCTGCAGTCACGAAAGCTTTAAATCGATATTTAAAGTTACAGTAGTCAAGTAAATAGAGATCACGACAAAAAAACACTTTATATCAATGGAAAATGTTGCAACAAACATAAATAAATTTTGTATTCAACTTCAATGTTAACTTCCCCAAAGTGAAGATTATATCTATGCTGATCATAGTAGAATAACAACATTAAGGCACGGAAAATTACACGTACACAAAACGAGGGTGACAATTGTACAAAGTGTATAAACAAATAAGTTTAAAATATATCAAATAACCACAAAGTCATAAAGAATCGACAGTTTCGCATTACATTGTGATTTATATAGAGTAACCAGATACATTTATGAAGCAAATCGAATTACCTGCAAGTGCGTTTGGGCATGAATAGGGAATTGGGTGATGAGCACGTGGGTTGCTCGCTTGTAGTCCTCTGGGTATATGACCAGGGCCGGATGAAGATTCCTGTGGGCCCCAGACACTCTCTGCCTCGTCGGCCTTCAGTAATAATGCTGTGCAGTCGGCACCGCTGTTACTACCCTTGTTGTTATTATTATGAACACGCTTTTATTTAACTCACTCTGTATGTTGTTGTATCCTCAAATCCTGTAACTCAATTTTTACCCACTTCCCAATGTGGTATCGACTGCAAACTTGCTATATTTATGTCATACTGATGACAATACTATATTATATCATAGAAAATCAAAATATATATTTTTAAACATTATTTTTTATATGTTATGTTTCGGCTTCGGTCTAATTGCCCATGCTCAACTAACGTTGGCTGTGAATGACCACGGGTCTCTTACGTTTTGGCAAGCTTCGGGGCAACTTCCTGGAGTCGTGGAGTTTTTCCATTACCAGTACGGTACATTTCATTAAAGCGTGTTTTTTTTTAAAGTTTTTTTTTTAATATTACTGTTTCACACCGTACTTTTGTCCGGCCGCTGGACAAATGTCGTTACCTACACGTCAATTATTTAGTCTGTGCCCTAATTCGATGCGAGTGCGCTGCGTGGCGGAGATAAGCGGATTTAATTTGAAATTATTGTTTGCGATGAGAAAAATCTCGAAAAATTATACCACGGTGTTAATTTCTCTAACCTTGTGACTCTGCCTCTTTGTGTTTTCAGTGCCTATCTTTGCTAGATAAATATATGTATTCAAGGCGATATATTGGTTGCATTTACTTTTATTATCGTACAAATAAAATAAAACATGTTTCGATTTAAAGCTTTCGTGACTGCAGAGATTCATCTTCTGGGTTCTTTCGGTAAAGTCACGTGACTTTACCGAAAGAACTCAGAATAAAAATAAAACATGGTCAATGTATTGTTTCGTAACCCCTTTAGTTTCTGTAGGACCCAGGCAAAGTGCCTACTGTGCCTTTTGGATCATACGGCCCTGAGTACACCATGCACCTTGAAAGACTGGGCAGTGTGGTTTGAGACCTTTAGGGAAGAGGCCTTCATCGTGTCTGATGGTAATTACACGTTTTGTATCTCAGATCTCGCTTGCAAATGATCCCTGTCACAGTGTGCTCTAACCTGGTTATAAAGGTCAATATGTACTCGTGGGTTTTACCTTTGAAAAAAAAAAGCATAGGCCCAGAGATTCATAACGGCAGGTGGCCATCAACAGACTGCGATATCAAAGTTGTAATATGTTTAAAAATATATATGCCATGGTGTAGAACACCTCATAAGGCAGTGCATTGGCAACATGACTCCAGTTTAAGTTATTTTTTTGTTGAATCAGGTTAGCTCTTAAAAGACCAGCATACTCTAATTTGCAAGAGTGACCCTGGGGGCACGTCTGTACGTGTACGTGTCCTGTAGGACATCTGACGAGAGAGGGCGTCACAGCCTCGCGTGCGTGATGTCAACGGCACCACACCCAAGATTGACCCATCACTTTATTATTAGAACCGGTGACATTCAACCACTTCATCCAAGTGAACGTGCAACGTTTGGTTTAGCGTTGGCACTAATTAACTTGGAGCCGCCGCATTCGGCATAGATTACGTGGGCAGAAGCGCGAGGTGAACATCAATGATAACACAAATGTACAGACAGCCATAGTACAGGTGTTTTTTTTGGTGGGGTTAGATCGCGTAAATGTGGTACTTTACCCGCCACCACCCGACACAGCCAATTAGTAAAGTTTGTCACGTAAACAGAACGTGGCCAATTCGTTACTTGTACAGCACACCGGTGTGTTGGTGAGTAAATCCACAACGTTTACAATCTGGACAACGACGTTGGTCGCGAAAGCCTTCGTGTTAATAATGTACAGGCCCTTTGTCAATCCACTGCTGGATGAAGACATCCCAAAGCTGTATCAGTCATTGGGATTGTTTGATCAATTTTATCCCAATTGTGTATTAAACATCATGTCATAACATACATAATACAATCGGAACGGTACGTGGAAGAAGCTATCACTGAACTGGTTCTGAGATCACATCAACTGACCAATTATTCACACCAGGAGGCAGCATTTCCCCACTCTCTCTTCGACAGAGACGCGTCCATCACACAACAAACTAATCCTCAGCGCTTTAATGTAACCAAATTAAATGCGGTGATAAATTCAGTTGTGTTGTTGCGCAATCAACTCATTGAACCTGACAACCCGGTTTTAATAAAAGGCAACCCAAACCTGAATTGGTTACCAATGATCGCAGCATTACGCCCTCTAAACGCACTGTGATGTTAACATTGAATGTTCACGCATGCATATACTGTGGTGAGTAGTGAACCAGTGTATTCTTGCGTATGGCTACAATATATTTAGGAGCTAAACACCAATGTCGAGGTCTGCTAGCCACGACGAGAGGGCTTCAGGAGAGTGGTTCGTGTAGTTTTGCGATTCCTCCATTGAAGGATCACAGACAACCGTGGTTTACTATATGGCCCAGAGTTTAGGTTGTATGGCCAACAGTTGCAGCACTGGCGGCTTGTCTTTAATTTTCTATTCATGAAGGAGATGTACGCGTCGGCCTGTTGATGTCATTTTGCGGTTGATGGCTACACCGGTGTCTTCGAGGAATGTCAAAAGCCAGAAGGTGCGACGTTTGGGTCTTTAAAGAGGTGTTCATTATGGACGTCCGCGTTGCTCCAATCTGTTTTTTTTGCCAGCGCTCTTCCGCATCTGAGTGAGATTATGGAACAATGACGGAACGATCCCAGGAGGGGGAAATTGGGACGTGAGTCCACGGCGAAGTACATTCTTGAGGTCTTGATTGATAGGGTAGGTTGTCGTTGCAAAAGACAACGTGTAAACTCCCTTTCACTTTGAATGTCCCTATATATTTGGTGGGAGAAGGTTCACCAGAATAGTGCAGCCAGATGTACGTCAGCCGAGACACACCCCCACGTTGGACTGGCAAGATGTTGCAGCTGGGCCGCTCCTGAGTCGGTCTGTTCACAGATCTGTTTCCATGCGGGGCTTGAAGGTCAAGCTTTTATCAATGATAACCCCTGGATATTTTGGGGTGGCATCATTGCGCACTGGGTGGCATCTGCTGCAATGATTGATAGTTCAGGTGGAAAGCACTTTGGGGTGGTTGCGGAGAGATTCGTTTGGGTCGTGCGCTCTGCATGCAGTACAGCCATTCTGCAGGGTGGGGGAGCTCTTACGAAAGATTTTATTATCGAGTCTCATTCGCTTTACTTCACAATACTGCCTCCTAATGGGAAAAGTGCGTCTCTTGCTGTGTGAAGTGAATAGAGGTATGTGGTGGCCGTTAAGAAAACTTATATTTTTTCACTTTTTGGTAAATAACACATTGTAGAACAGCAGACGGTTGTTTATTCGCTATGTTTGGCGGTAAAAAGGAATGAAACGCCAAAAATAAAATTAGTAAAAAAGGGGATGTTTCCACCCGGTTTCGAACCGGGGACCTTTCGCGTGTTAGGCGAACGTGATAACCACTACACTATGGAAACAGCTTGGTGGCACTCTCTCAGTTAGCTTTATATTGGCAATGCACGCACACTCATCACTGAAAAAAAATGTTTTTAAGTTGATGTTTAACGCAGCGTTGGGAAACGTGATTTTTTTGGGGAGAGGGGCGGTGTTGTGGCACGAGGTTAAAACAAAATTGTGGCATTAATTTGTAGCTGGTAATAAATAGCAAAATTCGCGTCCCTGGGTGGGCTCGAACCACCAACCTTTCGGTTAACAGCCGAACGCGCTAACCGATTGCGCCACAGAGACTCGTCGAGTCGCCACTTAAAAACACGCGCCCTTAAAGGCACCGCGGGGCGACAACGCCTCTTCGTTCGGGCACGCAGCGATTCTCCTCGCGCGTCTTTTTCTCTCGGCTGACCCCAACGAAAGCCTCGCCGAGTCTCGTGCAAGGTCCTGGAGGGAGGGTGACGACGACGTCTTGCTGAGCACGTCGCGAATTGAGCCAGTTTTGCGGGTGATCTGAACAAATTTGGCACACGACGGCCTCCTCTTGCGAAAGTTGCCACTGCGTCTTTTAACGTGAGGCAGACGGCGGCGTCGGGCGTGTTAATGTTAATACAAACCGGCTGTTTTATTTCTTAAAGAACCGTCAAGCTGCAACGAGCCACGGGCTCGGGTCCTCGTCACCGCCGCCTTCATTTG